CAGTTCAGAGGAGAGTATCTGTCGGATTTATTACACGCTAATTCATCCACTTCTCCTGAAATACATGAAAGTATGTGGCCGATGAAGTGGGAGAAAAATAGAGTAAATTTTATAGTTACTTACACAATGTGTCTCTGATATGAATAGAACACATCATCAATTTATAATTAAAAGGATTTTTATTGTGTATTTTAAAAAATGTAAATGTATTGTATTGCTAGTACTTGTGTGTTTTTAAATGTCTGAAACCTAAAATAAACATTATATGGTTGAAAACACTGAATAGTTATATATGACAAGCGTTGAGCGCGTCCATCTCTGGCTCAGCGCCAGCCAAAGTGCAAAAGCACATTTGAATTTAGCACTTGATTGTGACGCAGTGAATAATCTAATCACACCGGTGTGATCGTACGGGTCAAGGGTTATTAGTGCAACACACAGAAATCGCTCCTCAGCACACAACCTGACAAACAATCACAGTCATTAGCATAGCATGCTGCTATGCTAATGAGTATATACACTACTACACTAGCACACACTAGCATAAAATATTGGGTAAAATTCTAATAATTACAATATGTATATAAAATTATATTATTACAAAGGGTGTATTTTTAATTAGATATTATATACATACAGATTCTGTAATCAAATGGGAACTGGAGCAGCCTGAATGAATGAGTATATCGAATCTGAATGTAAAAATATAAACGAGTAAACAGACACACTTCTCCTTAAAGGTCCAGGAGCATTTTGCTTCCATATAAATATGGGGGAATTGATGTCAGATCTCCATACACATGAGAAGACTAAAGGGCACGCTTCCATTTGACATGTGTCGAGAATTAAAAAGAAAGGGGTGGAGAGACGGAGGAAGGCCTCGGCCCATGAGATGAGAGATGAGATGGAGAACGTACCCTCCGTTAGCCTGTGGGCGGAAGGGTGACGTTCGGCCGACTGAGATGCGCATAAGCGACTTTGGATATGAACTATAAAGCAAAGGATGAAAAAAGCTGAAAAAAACTGGTGCAGGTGGTTGTGAGACAGTGACCCCGCGGGGGATGGTCCGACTGAATAAATAGACAGATTAATAAATAAATATCTTTTAAAAAATGGGAGACTGAGGAGGGCTGCCATCTATCAAAGATCCTATTACCACGAAACCTGAAGCCATATGTATAAGGCAGCCAGGATCCTAAGCAGATACAAATTCAACTTTTCCTTACAATTTGTTATCTCTGACATTCATCATGCCAACACACACTCTGATACACAAGGAAACTCGCACACCGGTTTGAATTATGAATAGATTTGTTTTCTCAATAGATATTGACTGGTTGTATGTAATCTTCTATTTAAAGTAAATCAGTCAAATCAGTTGCATACAATCATCCGGACAGTGTGATCACAAGTAGCTTTATCGGAGGAAATAAAGAGTTAAAAAGTGGGAATGGGATGATTTTTTTTTTATTTCCTCAGAGAGAGAAATGTAAACAGAGATCTAACCACTACCATATTTTTGTAATCTGTTTATTTGGGTATTTATACGAACAATATGTAGTTGTGTATTCAGCTTGTGCAATCAAATGACACGGTCTTCATTCAGGACAACAACAAACATCTTATATAAAATGTCAGACAACTCAGTTTTCAAGGTCATGTGTTGTCAATCTTTGAGTGTGTGTGTGGTAGAGGGAGGGAGGATGACAACAGATGGATTCAACTTCGCTAAAGATCCACTTGTAACACTGGCAGAATTATACGCTGCTGTGTTACGTTGCATGTTGGTATGCAATAACAAATTATAGCATTTCATTAGAGATTGAAACGCAATAATTTGTTGTGACACCAAACATAAACTTTCATTTGCAACGCTCAAAATGTAGGAATGCAACAACAAATTACTGGCACAACCATATGCTAACTAACTGAGATATATACAGTACTTATGACTTATATTGAGACTTGTAAAAGTTTCATTTCAAGCTAAATGACAATCCCTGTTGCCATTTGGCCTGCAACAACTAGCTGCTAAAAAGGAGTATAGAAATGGTTGAAGTATTTTTTTTTAAAATTAATTTATTGTTATAAATATATACAAAGAATAAAATATATATAAACATAGTCATCAGAAAGTATTTATAAGAGCAGTTATATATATATAGTAACTGGTCAAAAGTTTGGAATATTTTCATTTGTATTAAAATTATATTATATATAAATAAAATATAATAATAGTAGATTCAAATTGATGAACATTTTGACTTCTGCAAAACAATTTCATAACAGCATGCATTTATAAGAACAGTAATTTTTAAATAATAAATAAAGAGTATCTCTAATCCTTCATTATAGGAATAAAATTATCTGATTACAGTAACATTATCTTATTAATTGATTAGTTTATTAATTGATCCATTTATTCATTCAAAATCGCAAACTCTCTTGAGTAGGTACTTGTTTTGAATAAGTATTACTTCGCGACCGTTAAATTTGTATAAATGTGTGTAGTATGAATATAATCCGGATGTACTACATTCACCATGTTGTCACTGTCATGTGACCTACCAGCGTCAGTTGCGTCGCTTTGTGTCTCGCAACTTCCTTCAGCATGTCTTACAGATTTTTTTACAACTAAAAAGGAGTGTGGAAATGAACTTTCCGCTTTTATCAAGCTTTTCAAGAACTGCCCCTTCAGAACTGCAGCCTTTTGATTGACTTGTATCTCCATTCTTGAGGTCACGCATTCAAAAGGCGGCAGAACGAAAGCATACAAAATAGTACTGTCCCCCTTGACCTTCAGCTTTATTGGTGAATGTACTGAAGATATAACGTAAAATGATGAAAGGGACAGCAAAAGAAGAAAACGACTTCAGTTTAAACTTGGTCAAAACTCCTTTGTCGCGCTTCTCTTTTCCACAAACACTTGTCTTTTCCTAATTCCTTTATTTAGCTCTGTCGTAATTGGCAGATTGAAACACTTGCCTCAAAGGAGGAAAAGACATGAATTGATCAAAAGCGAACAAACGCTTTTCCTCATGCTCGCTCGGCTTCAAGAATTACTTGACCTTGAATGGAAGAGACACAACAATCAGTTATATACAATCAGGACATACGGCAGCATTTATTGTGGGTTTGGCCCTATTTGTTACAACACAAGGCCTTTCACAGTTGGGCTCATATGCGTATGAGCGCCTCTCTCCCTCTTGGTTACATTATACATACGTTTCTTCTTAGCACTTAGTCGTGTGACTGGCTGACTGGTTTAAAAAATTGCACGGCATTAAAAACAAATATTCAATCATGGCCCGCATCGCAACCGATTACGGCAAGAGTCCGGGCGAGTCTCGTCAAGATGATTAGTTGCATCGCTCATATGCACGGGACGGCCCCTTCTGCATTTGCATGTGGTCTGCGCACACATAGCAGGCTAAAACTGCCATTTCATTCCTCTCAGAGCCAATTGACCTTGAGTAATGGGCTGGATAATACCAGCTGCCAATCAATATGAATTAGTGCATATGTGATTCTGCTCTCTGATTGGCCACGTCATAATTAGTCAGGTTTTTGTGCAAGAAAAGATAAGCTGGGGGGGGAAAAAGGACACATGATAGTAAATTAAAATAATTTTAATAGTATTTTTTATTTTAATAGTATTTTTAATTAATTGATTGAATTTGTATAAATACAGAGTATCAATGTGGTAAATATAGAGTGTGCATTTACTTAAAAGTTATAATTTAATTGATTTGAATCATTTAATAAAATATGGATTATCAATATAGTACAGTAAATATGGAGTATACATTCTTAAAGGGATAGTTCACTTTGAAATTAATTTTTGGTATGTTTTAGCTTACCTCAAGGGTATCCAAGATGTAGGTGTCTTTGTTTCCGCAGTAGTTTCAATTTTGATATTTTTAGGTCAAACCGTTCTTGTCTGTCAGTCATATAATGCAGGTCTATGGTCACCACCTCAAAGAGCATGCTCAGAGAAGTCCAAATTAAACATGATTTAATGACTCGTAAATGTTAGTACACATTGATGGCCTAAGACACGAAACGAGCGGTTTGTGTGAGAAAACGAACAGTATTTATATCGTTTTTACCTCTTGTAACCACAGCCGAGGGCGAGGGAGCGGGCGCTTCGGTCTGCGCAAGCGCCTGAAGTGATCTCTCTGAAAAAATTCAACGTTGTCTGTTGATATATCGAAATCGTCTTCCATTGCGATTTCCTGTATATATAATATGTTTTGATCTTCACAGTGAAAGGTAACACTTCCGAAATCTCTGTGTAAACAATGAGTGACGTACACGCGCGAGAGATCACTTCCGGCGCTTTTTGAAACTACTGCGGAAACAAAGACACCTACATCTTGGATGCCCTTGAGGTAAGCTAAAACATACCAAAAATTAATTTCAAAGTGAACTATCCCTTTAAATTAATAAAAGTATTTTTTTTATTTTTTTTATTACTTAAACTTTAATTTTTTAATTAAATATAAAGTGGCAATATAGTACCGTAGTTATATTATAGACTGACCAACCAGAATGAAGAGGGATGTGTAATAATAATAATACAATATTATATATTATTTACAAAATGACTCTTTTTCCTTCAATCCCTCCCTCCTCTCTTTATAAAATCTCTCATTTTCGTGAACTCCCTTTGAGATTACTACGATTCAGACCTGAAATGCTGGGGTCAGAGAAGGCGATTGAAGCCCGTCATTTTTCTGGGTCTGGAGAATGTTACAGTCCCAGAACAGGCCTGTCATGTTAAGAGTTCACCCTCTTTGCCAATCGCTACTTTTCCTCTCGCCATAATTTAGGACAGATTTTTAAAGCTCTGCTTTATATAAACACACTGCCATTTGAAAATACACACACATATATGCACAAACCCAAATATACATGTACATCATCTTAGCTGGCCAATCAGCCCTTACAAAGATGCTTCGTTTTTTGGTGTTGGATCAATAAATAAACCAACGACTCACTGGTTTTGTCGTAACTCTGGGTGATGTTGTCGCTGTGGGTCGAGGAGCTGCTGGAGTGGGTGGTGATCGTCTGCCCGTCCAAAACAACTGGCACTGGAGAGCTGCCCGGCCGAGAGCTGCCCACTGAACTGGAGGGCCTAGAACTGGCGCAGTTCTGTGAAAAAGGAAGAGAAGACAAATGCATTAAGTGAAACTTACTATCAGGCTAGAGATCACCAGTGAAAAGGCCTCTATTGTGCATTTTTCTAATTATTAAATAATAATTAGAAAAATGTAACTTTTTTTAACTCTCCCGATCAGAGAGAGTGAAAGCAGTTTTCTTGCATTCATTATTCATTGTGGATTAAATGACACTCAGTAAAGCGACCGATTAAAGAAATATTGAGGAATAACAACAGGAACTAATGTTAAATATTGAAAAAAGTCAAAGTTGACAGCTAAGAAGTCATGCCTTACACAATACACAACCAAAAAGTACACAGACATGTATGAAAGAACCGCAAAATAAATACACATAGAAGTCTCACAGGAATGTAAACTAGATCTGACATAAAAACCCACAGCCTTACCACTCATATCACACAATAACATATAATGGGCTTTGACATGCAGCCCTGGTTAAGAAGGCTTTTTCCTCAGAAAGAAGATAATGCATAACCTAGCACTATTTCAGTATTTAAAATCATACGTGTAAACGTTTTACAACAGGAAATGCACATATATGTAGTACAAATCTCTCTCTTTTCCGTCCTATATCTTGTCAAAACTTGAATTAGGATCAAAAAACTAATCTGCTTCCAATTTATATCTATATTTCAGGGCTGTCAGGGATCCAGACCCTGCTAGTATCGCAGGACGTTCGTTTTTCATTTGGCCGGTGCAACTGACAGCTTTATTTTTCTCAAGCAATCTGCCACAGTATGTACAAGTGTGAGGTCACACGGGTCAGGCGACAGTTGGAATGAAGCGCCCTGGCAACACTGGTCTGGCTCATGAATAAACAAGAACGACAAGTACGGAAACTAAAGTGGGAAGGAGAGAACGAGAGAGGTGTTTAATAAGCCGCTACATAAGTTCAGCAAATGGGGCTTTAATATCATGCTGTATATTCATTATCTGCCATTTACAGTAACTATTTTCATGCATAGTGGAGATGTGAAAGATCCTTGAGAAACCTGTATAATTACTAGACTCATCATGAATCATCATTTAAAATAATAATTTATTATTCATAACAATAACTGTCTAGAGCAAATTAATCAAGATCTACCATATTCACAGGCCCGATTTAAAGCTGGAGTGTTTGATATTTTCACCATTACCATCACAAAAATTGGATTTCTAAATTGGATGGATGGATGGATGGATGGATGGATGGAGAGATGGATGGTGGATAGATGGATGGATGCATGGAGGCATGGATGGGTGGAGGGATGGATGGAATGTATGGCTGGATAGAGGGAGGGATGGATGGATTGAGGGATGGATGGGTGGAATGGATGGATGGATGGATGGATTGAGGGATGGATGGATGGATTGAGGGATGGATTGAGGGATGGATGGGTGGAATGGATGGATGGATTGAGGGATGGATGGATGAATGGATGTATGGATGGATGGATGGATGGATGGATGGATGGACAGAAGGATAGAGGGAGGGATGGATGTATGGAAGGAGGGATGCATGGATGGATGAGAGATGGATGGTGGATAGATAGATGGATGGATGGGGGAGGGATGGGCTAAGGGATGATGATGGATGAAGGGATGGATGGATGGGTGGAATGGATGGATGGCTGGATAGGGGGAGGGATGGATGGATGGCTGGATGGATGGATGGATGGATGGATGGATGGAGGGATGGATGGATGGATGGATGGCTGGATGGATGGAGGGATGGATTGAGGGAGGGAGGGAGGGAGGGAGGGATGGATGGAGGGATGGATGGCTGGATGGATGGATTGAGGGAGGGATGGATGGATAGATGGATGGATGGAGGGATGGATGGATGGATGGAGGGAGGGATGGACGGACGGACGGTTGTCTGACATACTTTTGCTAAGAATTGCTAGAGTGTTCTGGGTTGTTGCTAGGATGTTCTGAGTGGTTGCTATGATAATGCTAAGGTGCTCTAGTTGGTTTCCAGGGCATTCTAGGTGGTTGCTATGGTGGTCTTGGACAAACTGTTACAGAAATAAACATTAGATTACTCTACGATGAGTTGAAAAAACGTAAGGATTCCCTCAGGGAAAAAACAAACAAACAAACATCCATCTACAGTACATCTTGTAGGTTATTACTACTATATTGGAAGTCAGTACATTCCCTGACCACTGCTCTAATCCAATAAAGAAGAGTACATTTTCCTTTCCCATTCTGGACCCCGTCCAGCACCAAAGCTATTCGGCGAGATACAGTATATCACCTCTAGATTTATGACGCAAAACGGCATTAGCTAAAAAACCATCCGCCACACGCGGACGGCGAAGCTCATCGCGTGGACTTTGAAAATTGGAAAATTGCCCAGAGAGCGCTAAAGGGTCCCACTGCTAATACGACCCGCTACGATTTATCAGCTGCTACCTGGCACTCGCGTTTGGGGCCACAGTCGTTTTTTACAAGACCCAGTCTTAATGGTGTCGGGCCTGTCAGGGGGGTCAAAGGAAAGAGGGAGGGGGGCCATATTCTAAAATCAATCCGCCTTTAGAAATTGTCTCATTCCGTTCTCAATGACCTGGTGGCACTGCAAGGGCCGAGCGGGACAAACTGCCGTAGGCCATAAACCGTGACAAGCCCGAAGGAGAGTTAATGTGGCCATTCATAGAGGAACCGCTCGTAGTGTCGGTGGAGGTGAGGTGAGGTGGTGCGCCATTGGGGGGAGGGGGTGTCTATTAACTACTTTTAAACCGTTTTGGTGAAGCTAAGTGATCTCCGTCAACAGCAGCCTCGCGTATAAATACTGGCCTGACAGTTTAATGTGAAGGGACGAGTTTCCACAGGATTAGAAACATGTAACCCAGGGCTGCTGCTTGACATTGGCTGGATTGAGGTGGCCTGAGTGGGTGTGTGAAACAGGGCCGGGGGGCGAAACATGCACAAAACACACTCTACGTTATGACATTTGCGCTGTATGAAGAAATCCTCTGGTATTCGAGAAAACATGCAAGCTGGGAGAACTTACAGAGAAATTTAAGGCTTTTCTTCTTTCTTTGATTCTGTTGACTGTGTTTCGAACCTGTGGATAACAAGGAGGGGGTGGATGGTTAAAATGTCATGACTCAATACTAAACACTTAATACAAAACACTTTGCGCTCGCATGAGTCTTCTTGGCCCGGGGAAGGTGAAATTCAATCCGAACTGGGAATAGAGAAAGAAAATAGCTGCCATTGCATAAAAGTCAATGAGTGCCGCAGACCAAAATGTTCCAGTTTGTCACATGTAATGGGTCCTGAATGTGACACGTAGAGTGGGCAAAGTAAGGAGAGCGTCTTAACCTCTCATCCGTCACACCGCACAGGGGGCCGCGGAAATGAAGCGATAGAGGAAACGACCACCCTTGCAGAACAAATTACATTTGGACGGTGTGAGAAAAACTGGGATATTGGGCGATGCATGTAGAATGACACACACAGTACAATAAACTCACGCCGACGCGAGTCGATTACTCGTAAATACACATCAAATTTAAAAGCCTTTTTTTCTAGCATCACGTTTATGATGTCACAGTATCGCCCAATTGCTAAACTTAAAAATGCCTTTTGGGGGGTGGGGGTGGGGGGAGCAAATAAATATTGTTATCTATTCACAGTAAAATAACAACATATTATTGTGAAAAGTGGAACATTCCCTTCACGTTCAAATTAATTATATTAAATTATATTAACATAAATAATGCAATATACAGTATATATACACACACACATACATACATATATATATAATGCAAAATGTATGAATAAAGTAATAAAACTAAAACATTGTTTTTTTAAGTAAAATATACAATTAATTCAAAAATGATATATTCTTATTTACATTTATTTTAATATAAAAAGTATATAAAATGTAACATGTTCCAAACTTATATTACACATTATGCTATATATTATTGTGCAAACTAGGAGTCGTTGTGTGTGTGTATATAGTTGTATAAAAAATCTACATTTTCTGTATGACAATATTCCTCACATTTTACAATCCAATCCAGCTGTTTCCTGGCCTGCTAGATATTATTTTCCAGCCTGGCTGTCAGCGACCGGAAAAAAACCTGCCTGCATTTCCCAGCACGAGTCCGGCACAAGCTCCAGCCCTATGCTGGTGAATATGCATTAGCTCTTATGACTTCATTAGGCTCTGCTGTTGTCATAAATTATTGCTGCCATGCAGATATACACACACTGCCTTGTTTCGAATAGACACTATCACTGTGACGACAGAGTTAATGAAGAGAACTGAAAAGCTCTGACAGCTCGGAGTCAACGGTAATATGTCAGATTTGCAAACAGACACTCTTTTCTCCCTCTCTCACACTTTCTTTTCAGCAAATCAAGTGCGCTGTAGCTTTAACGAATAGAACTAAGAAATCAAATCACTTTATTCCAGGTAAAATCATAGAAAGCTGTTTGACGAAAGAGCATTTCCAGCAACTGGAGGAACTGGTTTGAAGATGCTGCTCTTAAAAGCAGTTTAGCTGTTTTCCTCTCAAGGTTTTAAAGTGATGTAGCCCTAATGTTCAATATAAAAATACATTAGATAAAATTTCCATATGAAAGCAATGCAAATGGATACATTTGCTAAAGAAAAACTCTAGCAGAGGTCAGATAAAACAGTCAATTATATAAATATTTGTTTTTAATGATCAAAGCGGTCAGTTTTAATTTCTTCTTGGGGTGGGATGATCTACTGTATATAACAAACTCAAAGTGAAATTAGAAAGGGAAATAATCATCAAATTGAATTGCAACCTGTTATTCCATTAATTCTAAGCAGAACACAATATACC